AAATCCAGTGCTCTGGAAAAACTGTGGCAGCAGCACAGTAAGGGAGCAGGAAGCTGGTGGGAACCCCAGAATTTCTTCGAGCCTGAGCGTTTCTTATTCTTCAAGAATTGTCGGGACGACAATTTATAAGAGGGAGGGCAATGTTATGCCCGAATCGTATCGCCCGTTACGCCTGAGATGAGTCGCCGCCCGTTGCACGTTCCTGAAGAACGAAGAGCGCGTTGCTTGGCGACGAGCGCGGAGTTGTTGTTAAACAACTCGGAAGAGAGTCTCCGTCACGAACGGACGTGTTTCTCTCTACGCGAGATATTTACCTGGTTATTGCGCTTAATTGTATCACGCTGTAGTCCTGTGATTGTAAATAAACATCTGTTTACCTTTATACTCACTAGTGACTCATTTCGGCGAATCAGGAGTGCGGATCTCGTGAGGCGGACGGACGTAACATATTAGACGCACGGACGGACGTAACAATATTTTATGCATAATATCAATACTCTCCGTATACACTATAAAGAGTATTCATATTGTGCGTAATATGAGGTCTGTTTTTTATTCCTGCACTTTCGGAACTAGAAAACAGTGCAATAAGTTGAAGTGAAATAAATATACGTTTGATTCACTTCAACTTATTGCATTGGTTCAGAGTGCAGCAATAAAAAAACACCTATTGTTAGACAGAGAGAGAGAGAGAGAGAGAGAGAGAGAGAGAGAGAGAGAGAGATGTGGACGGGGAAGGGATAATAGGAATGAGAGAAAGGAAAAAGACAGAACAAGTACATCGATGAATTTTGTTTCTATTATTTTTTATTTAATTTTTTTTTTCTTTTTATTTTCCATTTTAGTTTTAATATCCCGGAACGTACGCCGACGGGATGTATCCTGATGTCGTCGGCGCCGGGATGTATCCTGGTGTCATCAGCGTTGAGATGTATCCTGATGTCGTCGGCGCCGGGATGTGTTCTGGTGTCGTCGGCGCTGGGATGTATCCTGGTGTGGTCGGCGCCGGGATGTATCCTGGTGTTGTTGGCATCGGAATGTATCCTGGTGTCGTCGCCGCCGGGATGTATCGTGGTGTCGTCGGGGTCGGAAAATATCCTGGTGTCGTCGTCGCCAGGATGTATCCAGGTGTCGTCGGCGTCGGAAAGTATCCTGGTGCCGTCGGCGTCGGAAAGTATCCTGGTGTCGTCGGCGCCGGGATGTATCTCGAAGATGAAGGGATGCCCGGATGGGCATTAGGAGCGGAGGGGTGGCAGTGTAGCAGTGTGGCACCCAGTTTGCGGGAGCCACTCACAGCGCTTGAGACTACAAAGCTCCTAAGCACCGGTCGCTGTGATTGGTGATGTCCAATCGAGACGTGGTCAATCGAGATCACCCCGGAGCGGCGTATTTCCATCTCCGCTGCTCCTTCGTTATCGCCCTCCGCACCGCTTGATTGATTTACTGAAACAATATTTCAATATTATTTATTTAATGCAAAATAATGTTTATACAGAGAGAGAGAAAGAGAGAGAGAGAGAGAGAGAGAGGGTCCATATTCTATATACGTATTGTATTTAGCATGTTTATCTATATATGTGTCTATAGAAATTATGTTTGATACATGCCAGTATACATACATCTATCTATTCCGTGTATGTGTGTTTTGAATGACGTGGTAGAAGCTTAGAACATTTTTTTTCACTGTGATTGGTGGTGTCCAATCGAGACGTGGTCAATCCGGATCACCCCCACCAAGTGGACCATACCCTCAATCTCGTTACTGATCCTAGGTCGGTATTCATAGTAGAATTTAAGATGGTCTTGAATATAAGAACTGACTATGAATACCGCCCTTAGATCCAGAGCACGATGAAAGAAATATGAAAGAGAGGAATAAATATTAAATGTTAGATAAATGAAAATGTTACAAATGCGTTGAAAGTAACGCACAATGGATATAAATAAATTTTTTTTGTTTTCCTGCTGGATACTTAGCTGGATTACATTCCTGCTATCGTCTTGACTGCGGTGCTAACAGTGCCAGCATCGCAGCCAATACGATGGCAAGAATGTAATCCGGCTAGCAATCTATCGTGAAAACAAGCATCGTATGTCGATTTATGATATGTGCAATATATTTATATTCATTATATGTTACGTTCCATGCGCTCATAAAATGTTTTCATTTCATTTAACTTGGATATATATTTCTGTTTTTAATATTTTTTTCTTTGTGCGCAGGACTTTTACACGCAATATATATACATTTATGTACTTACTTATCTTGCATCTAGCCTCGGAGGTTGCGGCGGCGGCGGAGATGGTAATATTGGTGGCGGCGGTGGTGGTGGCGGCAGTGGCGGCGGCGGATGCGACGGCTGCGGCGGTGGTGGTGATGGTAGTGGTGGTGGTGGTGGTGGCGGCAGCGGTGGCAAGGGTGCCACAAATGGCCGAGCGCCTAGATTTTTGGCTGAAATAAATAATAAAATAATTAATAATACGACACATAATGCATACAATACTATTGTGCCATTTTATTTTTGTAACTCGAGTCCGGTGTCGTCCTCATTCCAAACGCGACATGCCGCGAGGAAACATAATGTAATAAATGAAGCTCCATGGCGTAAAGTTAAATAAAATATTATCGATATCCATAATAATGATGAAACGAAATACTAAGTTGAATTTTTAATTAAAAATTTACCTCTGTCTTTCGTACTCATTGTTGCAACAAATATATGATATATATTGTTTTCTTGTACTCTACGCAAATAGTGCTCTCATTTATAACGCTAATTTGTCCACATCGACGTGAACTTCTGGCGGCACGTGGCGCTTGGAATGAGAAAGACGACGAGAACGGAAATCTGTCTACTTCCCCACTGCTCAGTCTTTCTTTCTCGCCTGCTCATTCTCATCGTCCTTACTCACTCATTCGCCCGTTTTCTCATTCATTACTTCAGTCGGTAATTTTGCGTTCCGGAGACATTATACAGTGCCATTTGTGTCATTCTGTCCTTGTTTTATGTCTAATGAACAATAAAGACAGTGTTACGTCCGAGGTTCCGCACGCATGGAACCTGAGGGGGCGAACGTAACGGGGTACTTGTCTACCGTCGTTGTCGGATCCTAGCTCCGGACCGCAAGGGAGCGAGGCGGGGGAACCGACTCGGACGGGAGGCACTTCGCTTCGTCCTTAGGCTCTCGAAGAGCCGGGGGTCTGAAGGGGGACGAAGTGGAAGCCTCGCTCGAGGTCGTCGCTCCGCTGAGCGGCTCGCCGAGGCGGACGCACACGCTAAAGGCCGGGAAATGGGTCAGTGTGCTTAGGGGCGCACTTCTATCCCATATAGGGATCGGGCCAGTACGTCCGAATGCCCTTGTTTTCGGCCTTGGAAATGAATCCAAAGGGCCGGGGA